TCTTCCTGCTGGGCCCCTGCCCGCGCTCGCAGAGGGAGCTGGTGCAGTTCGTGTCCGGCTGCGAGGCCCAGGCCCAGGGCCCGCCGCCCACCCCGAAGCAGGTGATGGAGAAGTTGCTGCCCAGGAGGGTCCAGGAAGTCATGGTCACCCGGAAGGTTACCTTGTACTGGGTGGACACCACCGAGCGGTCCAAGGTGAGAGGGTCGGGAGCTCAGACTTAGGGGCGCCGTGCCCGCGGGGTTCACCAGACTGGGCAGCCTACACCATACACTAGGCAGGGCCCCGGAACCTGCAAAGTCCAAGTGTGGGCGCCCCAGACCCGCACCAGATGTTACACCCTCGGAGTCGGACCTGACCCGGGTTCAGCAAACTCAGTAGGTACTTGAGTTCTGAAAAGAAAAATTCAGCCCTGCCGGTGTGGCTCAGTGGTTGAGCATCGACCTGGGAACCAGGAGGTCACGGTTCAATTCCGGGTCAGGGCGCATGCGCGGGTTGTGGGCTTGATCCCCAGTAGGGGGCGAGCGGGAGGCAGGCGATCAATGATTCTCATCATTGATGTTTCTCTCTCCCTCTCCCTTCCTCTCTGAAGTCAATAAACATACGTTTAAGAAAGAAAGAATTCAGAGCCAAGACTTGGTTTTATTTAGAAAGTCACAGGTGGAAGAAGTGAGCGGAGAAGGGTACGGGTGTCCCGTCTGGGGGAGAGCATGTCAGGTCCTCTGTCCTCAGTGCTTTCAAGGTGGCGATTTTAGGGGCGGTCCCATGGGGAGGATCGCGGTAGAAGATTCTGCTGCGTTTCCAGGTGCGTCCTTTCAGGGTCCTGGTCTCCTCTTATTGGTGGGCGCCAGGGGTCATTATTCAGTGCAGCTGGTCCTGAGGTCAGCCATGGCATCGCTTGTCTGGTTTGGCTGCTTTTCTGGGCCTGGAGCTGAAACGCTACTGAGGCCTAGATCAGTGGTTCTCAACCTTCTGGCCCTTTAAATACAGTTCCTCATGTTGTGACCCCACCATAAAATTATTTTCGTGGCTACTTCCTAACTGTAATGTTGCTACTGTGATGAATCATCATGTAAATATCTGATATGCAGGATGGTCTTAGGCGACCCCTGTGAAAGGGTCGTTCGACCGCCAAAGGGGTCGCGACCCACAGGTTGAGAACCGCTGGCCTAGATGTTAGCCCTAAGGGTTAGTGCCTAAGGGAGTGGGGGGGGTGCCCTTGTTCCCCCTCCAAGGGGTTCTACCCCAGGCCTACTGACATGCCAGGGGAGGAAAGGCCAGGGGGCATCCAACTAGCCAATAAATAGTTCCTGAGAAGCTGCCAACTGTATTAAAGGGTCACGGCATTAGGAAGAAGGTCAGGGGACATTCAACTAGCCATATGAAAGGTCAAGGGGTCAAGCTGCCTGACCAGCGACATGCCAGAGGAGGAAAGATTACCCTGGGGAGGGCGGGGTCCTTGCTTTTCCAGTTTTGCCCATCGATAGGCACCCGGGGCTTTCCACCCTGGCGACCTTCCGTGCCTGCCTGTGACCCTATCTCTGCTCGAGTCTGACTGCCTGACTGCCTACCACGAAGCGTTTAAGGTCCTTCACAATGTGGGCCCTGTCTGCCTTCCCCGACTTTACGTGTCCTACGCACGACCCATATTCCCGCATATTGCAGCCCAGTCTAGCTGGTCAGCAGGTCTGGCTGCTTGTTTGGTTGGTCACCAGGAATTCAAGTCCCAGCCTCACTCTTTAAGGCCCTGCCCAGCTACTCGGTGTCAGCGTCTGAGTTCCTTACTTTTGTGGCACAACTTGTCCCTTCTCATTCTCTGTTCTAGTTGTGCGGCCTCCCCTCCCACGTGGTCTAGAAAGACCTTAATAAAGGCGGGCACAGGCATCTTTTATCCCCAGCAGATGTGTGTTGAGCACTGTGGTTGTTCAGTATTTGTTAGCTAAATTAATTCTGACATACTTAGAATTCACCTTCCTAAAGGGCTAGTTTGGATTTTTGCTGAGGCAGTGGGGCCCTGGCCCCAGTTAAGTGCTATAATTAAAAAAAAGTGTGTGTGGCCCTAACCAGTTTGGCTCGGTGGATAGAGCATCAGCCTGTGGACTGAAGGGTCCCAGGTTCGATTCCCGTCAAGGGCATGTACCTTCGTTGCAGGCACATCCCCAGTAGGGGGCGTGCAGGAGGCAGCTGGTCGATGTTTCTCTCTCATGGATGTTTCTAACTCTATCCCTCTCCCTTCCTCTCTGTAAAAAATCAATAAAAATATATATTTAAAAAAAAGTGTGTGTATGGGTGGGCACCATTTTCTTCCTGTCACTTAATTTAGACAATAAATAGTTCCTGAGAAGCTACCAAATTGAGTACCTACTACACAGTTTTTGCTGCTGGGGACAAGGTGGCCAGCCAAAGTGGAATTTTCCTTGTAGGGCAGCAGTTCTCAACCTGTGGGTCACGACCCCTTTGGGGGTCAAACGGCCCTTTCATAGGGGTCGCCTAAAACCATCAGAGAACACATATATAATTACATATTGTTTTTGTGATTCATCACTATGCTTTAATTATGTTCAATTTGTAACAATGAAATTGGGGGTCACCACAACATGAGGAACTGTATTAAAGGGTCGAGGCATTAGGAAGGTTGAGAACCACTGGCTTAAA